GCCTATTTTCGTCTATTTTTGCTTTGGCACCACAGCGCCAAATACAGGCCTGGCATACATTTTGCAGCGTTTTCATGCATTCGTGTGGACGATCACATTTATTTTACGTCTCCGTCTTTACGACAAACGTTTTGGAAAATATCAGCGTTTCGTGTTCGTTTTGACTTCGTGTGGACAGGGCCTTAGGAGTTAATAAACTGTTTCAGAGGAGCGATCACAGCGCTCTGTGTCATCAGCGATGTGTCTGTCTCGCTGTCAGCTCCCAAATCAGCTTCTCTGATTGATTGATGTGGAGCGTCCAGCAGCAAAAATTCAATTTTTCCATCTCGAGCAGCAGTGCGTTTGTGGCGCATCAAGCAGATCAGATGCTTAAACGCTCCCAACGCGCTGCGCCTGCTGCTCAAAACGCTCTGCGGGACCTTTTGCTGCGCCTTGACGCATGGAGTCACAGATTAACAGCGATGGTGATGTGTGGAAAAAAAACACCTGGTCTCCTTACACTCATCTCCCTCAGCCACTCTTTCATCATCTCCTCAATGAGAAGATGCATCGGTCCTGAAGTCTGCAGTAACAGCACACATAGGGCGCGGCACACATTTTGAGGGGAAAAAAAGACGTTTATATGCACCTTATAGTCGTGAAAATAAAGTAATCTAGTTACAATGCCAAAGTTGGCCTGGGAGCGCCTTGGGGTTCCTCCGGAGGAGCTGGCCCAAGTGGCTGGAGAGAGAGGGACATCTGGGCCTTCCTACTGAAGCTGCTACCCCTGTGACCCGACCCTGGATGAGCAGGAGAAGATGGATGATAGATAACGCCAAAGCGATTGCACACCAGTAGGCCTGGTAGTTGAAGTTGGAGGTGAGATGGAGCTCAGGCATAGTCTTTGCAGCTTCATGATAGAGCTGTGAAATGGCTTCTTTTTAGTGTTAAATTTCTCAGATTCAGGTTAAAAAAAGGTGAACATCAGTAAAGCTTTTGGGAGGTGGTGATGATATAAGGAAGCAGAGATGCTATGCAGAGGTTGCTGCTTTCCTTCAGGACCGATGGGTAAAATCTTTCCTATTTGTGGACCTGGCATTCAGCTGGCATACAGCATAATTGAAGGTTGGTTTGAGAGCATGAGTGAGCTAACTCCTGGACTGGAGGGAGGTACCAATGTTTTCATCTCTTCATTTTCAAATGATTGCTAAAGTAAAACTACAGGGGAAAATTTAATCAGTCAAACGGAGCAATCGGCTACTTTCTTTTCTTTTTTTGAGTTTGTCAGTTGCGTGTGGTGTCATCTAACAAACTCAATATAAAAAAAACAGTATGCTCTTAAAGTGAAAAAATGTTTTTGAAGGCTGGATTATTGATGGACAGAATTCTGTGTTTGACCAATCCCTGCAGATTTGACGATGGTTCCACCCCTCAGTTCTGGAGATGGTTACAGCCACCCTCCGCCTCTGTCCAGGCTGCTCTCCCCTTTGTCCGAGTCCAAACAGATGACGCCCGCACAGGTGCCACACTTCCAGACGTCCCCCCTGCTTCACCCACTGGTGGGCCAGCACATCCTGACCGTCAGCCAGTTCAGTAAAGAGCAGGTAACCAGACCGCACCTAATGCAGGACACAAAGGTGACTGTAGCCATTTTTAATCACATTCTGTGTTCTGTTTATTTTCTTTTAGATGTCTCACCTGTTCAATGTCGCCCACACTTTGAGATTGTTGGTTCAGAAAGAGCGAAGCCTGGAAATCCTGAAGGTAGCTTTATTCATCTCATAAATTATTTTTTTTCTTTTTAATTAACTTTATTTAAACAAAGTACAAACAAGTAAGGCAATAACATTACAATTCTATGGAAGGCATAGTAGATGCAGATTTCATAATGGAAATACAAAGGAACATTGAGGAAAATAAAGAATGAGTGAGTAATGATAATGAAACAATAATTAATATAACAACAATGGAATTTATATGTTAGGATTAATTAAATCAGTGGGTAGTCCCATTAGTATTTCAGTTAGGTATTTGTAAGATTCGATACATTGAAGAGATGTCAGATATAATTTGAATTCAGTTAAAAAAAATACTAAAGATTGGGGATGATCTCAAGAATCTCTGTTTATGAATGAAGAATTTTGCTAAACATAAAACAATAGAACTCTGTTGTAACCTAATTTTGTCTTTCAATAGTATTCCAAAAACTACCATATCTCTAGAGATAGTTAGGGAGTGCGATTTTTGATTTGATCCATCTTTCTAAGCAATTCCAAAATGTTTTAGTCTGACTGCATCACTTTCACAGAATGGGCATCTATTGTCATCAATATTAAAATGAATTCTTAGTAGTTCTTTTGAGGGGTAAATTGCATTTAAAATTTTAAAGTGTCATCTCATGAATTAGTCTTTAGCTTTGACATTTTAGTTCTGTTTCCCTTTGCTACTCAGGGCAAAGTGATGGCATCCATGTTCTACGAAGTCAGCACTCGCACCAGCAGCTCCTTCGCAGCAGCAATGCAGCGTTTAGGTGGCTCCGTCGTTCATTTCAGCGATTCCACCTCTTCGTCCCAAAAGGGAGAGTCACTGGCAGACTCTGTTCAGACCATGAGCTGCTACGCTGACGTCCTGGTGCTCAGACACCCGTCTCCTGGAGCTGTGGAGGTGAGTTTCTGGATCGGCTTAGTCAGATTGTCAAACTTTTGAAATAAAAATAAAAAACGCGGATTACTTGCAAATTTTCTCATTTATTTTTTTTTTATATGAATATATTGATGTTACATTAAGTTATTGTAATTGCATTTAAACTATAGTTAATCAGGTGTTTGTATCACTCACTGATTCCCTCCTGGGGAAAATTTTCTTAATGAAAAAGAGAAAAGGGAGTAAATTCTATTAAAAATATACATTTCTTTTTTTTTTCCATTGTTTGATGTGAAATATAAAATCGCTAATGAATATGGTTAAGTTATTATATTTTTACTCTAGTTTAGTAGATACATGTGGAAGCTAGATATAAAAAACCCTAATAATGTGCTCTGCGCTCCTTTCAAACAGCAGTGAAAATTGTTTGAACGTTTTTTTTTTCTTCCAAGGTTTTTGTGTTGAAGTGGAAGAAGCTTCAGCTGAATCCTTTGCTCTTAAAGTTTGAACTGCTAACATTAACCTAATTGTTTGCAGTGAAGGTTTAACAGAGAAAAGCGGAGTTCTTTTGGCTCTTCATGTTATTATTGATAGAATGTCAGCTTGATTCTTTCTATGCATTTGTGTCCTTCAAGGTTTACTGAAGCCAAAGGCAGAGGGCTGCCTCCTGCTGGTAGCAACCGAAACCTAACCTATGGTTTCCGACCTAAATGAAGGCCTAGTTTTAACCCATTAGTTGTTGGTTTTTTGTGATGTTTTTCTTAGCAACTGTTGTAGCCTGCATTAGATGTGCATTAATCTGGCTCTTTGTGACCGTTCAGTTTCCACCTTTTTCCTCCTGAGGATTATAAAACAAACAGCTGAGGTAAATGGAAATTTCTTCAGGTTCCTTGGTAGAAATAGTTTATAGTTTTCAATCCAACAGAAAACAAAGTTAATTTATTCAAGGTTACTGTCATACATATGATTCTATCCTTCATATTGTTTTGACTAAACTTTAATAAGTGCATACACAGTAAATTGCACAGTGTTAAATATGCTGTGTCAAAGTACATTGACGCCTTTAGAATTTTTACAACAACTGCAGGAAAATATACACTAAGTAGAGTTCTAATTTAACACTAATTCTGAGTGGGATCAATTGTACGGAGCCCCTAAAGGGACATGGAGGAAAAAATAAACTTTTGCGAGGTCTTGCAAAACGTTTTGCCATGTCAGCTAACCAGAAGTAAAACAGACACACAACAGTGGAGGTGCAAAATGTACTGCTATGGGAGGATAATACGCCCATGTGTCAGCTACAACCATGGAGGATGATTTGGAGAGGTTCTTAATTTCTAGAGAAGTCCCAAAACACGACATTACATAAATGAAGAGAGTATGCAATCCTACGGAGCCCCTAAGGGGACATGGAGGGAAAAAATAAACTTTTGCGAGATCCTGCAAAACTATTGAGGGATCTCGCAAAAGTTTTTTTTTTCCCCCTCCATGTCCCTTAAGGGGCTCCGTAGGATTGTGCTCTTAAAGTGTTACTTTAACACTTCAAAATGTAATGTTTATGTTGATGGTGAAAACAAGACGCTTTTAAAGTATTTTATGACATAGATATAAGGAAATTATCTGAAAAGGTTTTTCCGATGTTTTTTACCTTCCTCTCTGGACACGTCTGACCTTTTTTGATAACTAGCCAATTAACTGCTGCCTAACTAAGACAATTCAACTAAAAATCTTGGAAATAAAAGTGAGAATTTTTTATGCCCGGGTCACCTCCCTGACTTATTAGTTAGCTCAACAGAAGCCCGCTGACGTGACTCTGATTAATGCCAGGTGTTTTGAAGAAAGTGGGTCTCTAAGACGAATATTTGACCAAAACACACAGGTTGCTGGAATCCAATTAGAAACGACTGAGCCCCTTCTAAACTGCATGAAAATGATGCAGAACTGGGCCAGTAATCCGGAGGTCAAAGTCCACCTTTAACTGCATCGGTTCATTGATCTTCTGAGCTGTGAAGCAGATTAGTGTTCCCACTTGTTAATGTTCTCTGTGCTCTACCCAGAATGCATCGCGCCACTGTCGTAAACCCGTGATCAACGCGGGGGACGGCGTCGGGGAGCATCCCACCCAGGCCCTGCTGGACGTCTTCACCATCAGGGAGGAGCTCGGGACGGTCAACGGGATGACGGTGAGAAGTGAAACTTCAAATCCTGATCTGGAGAGGAAACATGCAGGAGTCTGCAAACTTTCATATCCAAAGAGCCGTTTTTCCCCAGAATCCGACCAAGTAAAAGCTGTTTAGAGCTGCAAAATATAACATGACTTTTTTTTTAAATTACAAAATATTTTTATTTTTATTTTGTATAGGAAATAAGTTGCCATCTTAGATAATCAACAATTCATGCATTTTTAGCTTTTAAAATATTAAAACACATAATTTCCAAGCTAATTCAAAGAAATTTATCTCTTAAAACATATTTCTGGTTGATTTAATCTCATTCTTTTCTGTCTTATAAAAAAAAACAACACTAAAGCTGTTTGTATTGGTATTTATTTAAGTACAGTGGAATCCGCTTTTAGTGTCACGTTGGTCCGGAGCCAATTTGAACACTATAAGCTGTTGATTATTATACGAATTTACCGTTATTTCACTTATTTTTTATGCAGAATATCATTTAAATGCCATTTGTGTGGTTTTTCAATGAGAAAAAGGAAATGAAACGGATAGCTTCCGCATTTACTGAATTTTATTACAGTACAATGCAACTTTAATTGCAGTACACTGCGCTATGTGCAGACATAACTCTGGTAGCCTGGTGCTGCTGGTGCATTTTTTTTTAACAAGTCTGAAGTTTGAAACAAACTGTTTTATAGAACAACAACATAGAAGATACGGTAAATTAAAGCTAGCCTACGTCTGTTTTGTGTTGCTGATCTGCTGAAATCCCTTCACATATTTATCCATCGTTCCCTGGATCAGAGTGTTGTCCAACACTGAGTTCACTTTTTTCCAAAATGATGTAAAAGGTCAAAGTTTTTGAAACCAACATGCAGGAGATCAGGCTTTAAAACCCAAACTTCATTCCTCATCTCAGCTTTGGAAGAGAGCAGTCTCAACATCCTCCTCCTCCCTGCGCGTGGCACTGGTACCCGCACCAAAGCGCTCTTGTACCTCTGCGATGATGTCCTCATCTGCCATGGGCTCTGACACCGGAGTGCTCTCATCACTTTCGGTCCACTTATTAATTATTTTTGCACGTTTACATTCATAAAATGGCCAAAAATGAATATTATAAGCAGATTCCTTGATTACTATAAACAAATTATTTAAACAGCATTTATATAGAAATGTCCAAGGCATTTTGAACACTAAGCGGTTCATTACTATATCCGTGAACACTATAAGCGGATTCTACTGTACATTATTTTGCTCTTTATATACATTTTAGCTGCATGTGGCTCTGAAGCCGCAGGTTGCAGACCCCTGCCCTATTGCAGGGTTCCCGCCGGTCCTTAAAAAGTCTTAAAAGGCATTGAATTCTTCAAAATAAAAC